AAGAAAAAAGAAAAGAAGCAAAAAAGGAAAAACAAAAGAACAAAAATCGAAAGAAAAAGAGACAAAAAACACACGCAAAGATTCCCTAAAGACAAATGGCACATCAAGCTTCAAACTATGAGATTGATCAAGCACAATCATTCTCGAATCTCTGAATCACTTCACTCGAAGATCATGGAACATCTAGAGAAAATCCAGAGAAACACATATGAGCATATCCAAATTAAGCAAGACAGAATTGAAGGCATCATAATGAATTGATCCTTGGTTCAACACCCTGAAACATTTGTTTGGGCCTATTTATCCTTTTCTTTTATAACCACGAACCCTAGCCTACATTACGTGATTTAAAAGTCCCTTCTAATTATACATGGATTTCTAAACATAAGAGATTATCTTCAGATTTCATCCCGCCCATCAGGACTAATCGTTATTTGCAAAAAACAATGTAATTAATGCATAATAGAGAAAAATAAAAAAGGGGGGTTCAAGACGTAAATTCCGAATGACGTCTTGAAACCAAAAGAGGATTCAAGTTGAAAACCTGAAAAGACGGCTCGAATATAAAAATTGTGCAACTGAGACGATCACACAAATTCCTTGATACGACATCACACAACCCGAGTGTGACCACGAAGGTTGGGAGTCAGAGAACACTTCCAGTAGAGGAGCATGCAAGCTACCCCATCAAATCGTTGAGCATCAAATGCCAAACCTATGAGCATCAAATGTCAAACCTTTGAGCATCAAATGCCAAACCTTTGACCAAACATAATAACCTGAGATTTTTTTTTATCTTTTCCTTACTTAACCACTTCCCAAAAATAGCTTTGATCTTGGCACTTGTCAAATAGCTAGAATTCATTGAAGGATTAACAGTATAATTAATTCTTTGATATCCGATGAACTCTAGTTTATGATTCGTCTCAATTGTAAAACCGTGAAAGTGACAATATTTTCAAAACTTTGGATCAAACATTTTTCAAAACTCTTTTAATTGATATTTTCATAACTTTAAAAATAAAAGAGAAAGAAAAACATTTTTTCAAACAAGACAGTCTCTCTAGAGTGGATCTTGGTAAATGACATGTGACTTTTAGACACAAAATTCATGCTCATAATCAATGCTAAAGTAAGAAATGAGGAATATTTGGGGTATCTTTGAAGATTCGACGTCAAATATTGGGGCATTTTTGGATATTGGGGCATCATTTGGGGATTCAACATCCTAATGCAAATTATTAGACATTTTTCAGGAGATAAAATATAACCAATTCATGTTACATGCATCTTATGCATACATTTTAGAGCATTATATTTATCATTTTCCATATACATAAATTTTTGCAGCTTTTAGAGTCAAGTTTCGACTTCAAGACGAAGGATATTCGATTCAAAAGCACCTTTAAATATTCATGTTGGTTGCTTAACTTAGCAGCAAGAAGCTACACTTTGACCAACTCGACAGATTGAAAGTTTCTCTCAAACTCACAATTTGCTTGAGAGTAGATTTCAACTTCACAACGAAGGATATCTAGCTCGAAGCCAAACATCCACGATTTCAAATCCACGACGGAGGATATCGTGCCATTCAAGACAACACAAGTTCAACTTCACAACGAAGGAACAGCTGGTTGTCAACAACAATTTTCCAATTTCGGAGCCAATTTCAACTTCACAGCGAAGGATATTGGACTCCAGACAACGCAAGTTCAACTTCACGACGAAGGGACCGTTGGTTGTCAATAAACAATTTCCCAATTTCAGAGCCAATTTCAACTTCACAGCGAAGGATATTGGACTCCAGACAACGCAAGTTCAACTTCACGACGAAGGGACCGCTGGTTGTCAATAAACAACTTCCCAATTTCAGAGCCAATTTCAACTTCACAGCGAAGGATATTGGACTCCAGACAACGTAAGTTCAACTTCACGACGAAGGGACCGCTGGTTGTCAACAAACAACTTCTCAATTTCAGAGCCAATTTCAACTTCACAACGAAGGATATTGGACTCCAAACAACGCAAATTCAACTTCACGACGAAGGGACCGTTGGTTGTCAACAAACAATTTCCCAATTTCAGAGCCAATTTCAACTTCACAGCGAATGATATTGGACTCAAGACAATGCAAGTTCAACTTCACGACGAAGGGACCGATGGTTGTCAATAAACAATTTCCCAATTTCAAAGCCAATTTCAACTTCACAGCGAAGGATATTGGACTCCAGACAACGCAAGTTCAACTTCACGACGAAGGGACCGCTGGTTGTCAACAAACAACTTCTCAATTTTAGAGCCAATTTCAAATTCACAACGAAGGATATTGGACTCCAGACAACACAAGTTCAACTTCACGACGAAGGGACCGCTGGTTGTCAATAAACAATTTCCCAATTTCAGAGCCAATTTCAACTTCACAGCGTAGGATATTGGACTCAAGACAACGCAGGTTCAACTTTACGACGAAGGAACTGCTGGTTGTCAATAAACAACTTCCCAATTTCAGAGCCAATTTCAACTTCTCAGCGAAGGATCTTGGACTCGAGACAACACAAGCTCAACTTCACGACGAAGGGCCGGCTGATTGTCAACAAAATTTCATTCATAGTCAATTTCAACTTCACAGCGAAGGATATTGGACTCGAGACAACACAAGTTCAACTTCACAACGAAGGTACGACTGGTTGTCAACAAACAATTTCCCGATTCCAGAGCCAATTTCAACTTCACGACGGAGGATATTGGACTCGGAACAATGCTACTTACTTGGATTTCAACTTCACAACGAATGATATCCAATTTCAGGCTCAACTTCACGACGAAGGGGCCACCCGCGGTTTCAACTTCACAACGAAGGGAATCGTGCACACAAGCATCATCCATCTTTAGATTGGATTTCAACTTCACGACGAAGGATATCCAACTCAAAGAAGGAGTATCTGTCAACAAAGACCTTCGAGTTCGACTACGCTCAGCTCCAAGGCACATCATTTACATCATAACTCAAGGCTAGAAGGGTTATCTGCCATCAAAATTGTCGAATTCGATTCCATTCAGCTCGATGACACATCAATCACACTACTTTCCGGTTGCAGTCGAGGTTTTCAAGTCGAGAAGAGGACCTGGGTTAACCGTGCTTTAGTGACAAGCAACCATTTTCAAGCAAAAGCTATCTGTCAATGAAGATTTATGAGTTCGATTCCGATCCAAGGTCTTTAAACCGAGAAGAAGACCGAAGGGCAACGAGAAGCCACGTGCTGATTCAAATTCCGAACTACGGCATCAATTTCATATCATTTCAAGATGAACTCGGCTTCACGACGTAGTAGTCATCCGTAACTCAATTAGACAGGGAGTTATTGAAACATCAGAGTCAATTTTCAACTCCACCGAACGAAAAGTGTCTTTTAATCTTTGACATATCCCCGTTACACGACTATGGGCAAAGAGGGGCAGCTGTCAACACACATTTTCGTCCTACTAGGATTCAAACTCCTAAAAATAGGATAGAATTTTGCTAAGATTCAAACTCCTAAAAATATGATAGAGTTCTACTATGATTTAAACTCCTAAAGATAGGATCCACAAGCACTATAAATAGCCATTGTAACTCACTATTGTAACAGAGGATTTACAGACAAAATACAGAGGAAAGCACGAAAAATACAAAGACAAAACTATTGTAAACGATTCGAAAAAGAAATAAAATGTAGCATTTTTTTTGATTTGTTCATTTCTCGCATGTGCACGTTATTTTTCTTGAGATTTGGTTCGAATAATCTAAAACGTGGGTTGCGCCGACGACCAAAAATGGGTGGGGTTTCGAAGTTTCGAACCTAGATCTACCCCGAGACGTGTTCATTTTTTATCCCCCTAATGCGCAATATCGACGTTAATTGTCTTTCAAATTTGGCCCCGATCTTTATTTTTCTTTATATTAGTCCTTTTATTTATTGTATAGATATTTTTATTTATTTATTATTTACATTATTGTCATTATATAAATATATATACGTATGTTTTTTTAAATGATTTTTAATTGATTTTTTACACTATATATTATTATTATATATACATATTTTTTTATTTATATTCATTTGGTTATTTTTTAATACTATATTTATTATTTATATATATATATATATATATATATATATATATATATATATATATATATATATTTTTAAATATTTTACTTATAAGCGTATTATTACTATGTATATATATATTGTAATTATCTTTATTTAGTTTTTTTTACTTTATCATTATACGTATATATTTATGTTTTTAATAGTTTATTAATAAGTCAATTATCATTATATGTATACTTTTATATTTGGTTTATATATTTATTTATTTTTGGTTTTTTTATTTGTTTATATTATATTATATATTCATATTACTATCATTATTGTTATGATTATTATTTTTCTATTTTACTCATTTATATATATATATATATATATATATATATATATATTAATATTTCATTTATTTATTTATTTATTTATTTTTCTTTTTATTTTATTTTTCTTTTTATTTTATTTTTTAATTTATTTTTATTCTTCATTTTTTTCATTTATTCATTTTTTTCCTCTAACACATCTTATGACTTTTTAAGGGTATTTTCGTCAATTGATCAGAGGTAAGTAATTCATGATCAAATTTTACCTTTTAATTTAAAATTACAATTTTCTTAATTAAGACAACTGGAAATTACATAGTACCGAAAGGGCGGTTCAAGGGTGCTAATACTTCCTTGACCGTAACCGACTCCCGAGTCCGACATATTTCTGGTAAGACGCAGATCAGGTAAGAAATAGGGTATCCGATCAACCCATTTGTTTTAAATAAATGATCGGTGACGACTCCAATCCACATTTTTCAAGTCGAAGCCCAATTTCGGGATACAACCGAAAGACGGTTGCGACACTGTGATGAAGCTGTTTTTTGTTCCGGTATTTTTTTTCTCTAAATTCTCAGTATGCTCAATGATATTACCTGTAAAAGCCTGCACAAGGAGTCGGTAAAATCTCAGTACACATCATGCTCACGACAAAGTAACCGACACGGTAAAGGTAGTGCACCTTGGAACTATCAAATTCTGTTTTTGTGGTCGGTACGGGTTTCTGTAACGCAAAATCAGAGTTAAAAGATGGTTAGCAGCCCTATCAATGTGATCGTGAATTTATAAATACAATTTTGAGAAGGCAGTGTTCAAATTACAATCGTTGATGTTATCTAAAGATCAATTCCGAAATAAACATAAATGGTATTAGTTCCCCCCCCCCCCCCTCTCTTTCTCCCATAGACCATCGCTACAAAGACAGAAGCTTTGAAGCAACCCTTCTGTAAGAATTCTAGGTTCAAAGTGATTCAATTGTAAGATCAGAGTTCAAATATGAGCTACGGATACCTCATTTCTTGACGAATCATGAATGTTCTGCTTCAAACTCGACTTTTCAGAAGGCACATATGCATTTACGGGAGGATTTAACATCTTTGTTTCTTGATGTATAATCCGGCTGGGTGATATTTCACCTGAATAAGATAAAATAAAGGAATTCTCAAATCTATAAATCAATCTCGAAATGATATCCAGATGCGTAAGTCAGAAACATTCACCATCATAGTTACCTTTGGTAACAGGTTCCGTTGTCAATCCTGTACACTGCATTTGAAATATACAAAAATCAGCGACTTAAAAAGGCAAAAATTAGTTCAGGTGAAAGACAAAGATTGTACACACAGATTTAATTGCTTACAGCTAACTGATTAGTTAAATCTTGATAATTATACTTGGTAGACATCTCTTCATTCATTGAATCTTTGCCTTTGGACTGTTGTAGCTGTTTCTTCGGCTGAGACTGATACATCCATTTCATAAGTGACAAACGAAATCATTCAACCTACAACTGTATTAACAGGTAAAAAGCCTCAAGTCCGAACATTACCTCTAAATATCTTTGACCATGATCAAGAGAACTGTATCCTTCATCTTTTTTCCCGTAAAAAGCAGCTTCAGTTAGCTCATCTTCATCACCATCACCATCACCATCAGTTTCAGTAGCATTAGCATTAGCATCCTCATCTTCATCATTTTCTTCGTCATCTTCAGCTGCAAGTTCTTCCTTCTCAAGTTCCTCCAACCTTGACATTAGACGGGCATACCCATCATCCTCAGATTCACTCGCTTTATTGTCCAATTCAGCAACACTAGGGGATTCTAGTTCCACTGGACCTGAAAAGAAAGTGTTTTGTCTGACTTATATCCCTTAACTTCATTAAATAGCAATAACCAATTCATCGTAAACAATTAAATAGGCCACATGATAATCAGTAACTTGGCAATAAAATAAACTAGAAAACCAAGAACAAGACATTATGCAACATGATAAACAAATGATCAAGTGCTTACTGCATTATCGAGATGTTGAACGACACTGGCACTCCAACTAGCTTTCTCATAATGCATAATTCAGAATCAGATGGCCAAAGTATCATCTTTACTAATCTACGTAGACTACAAAGTTTCAACACAATGCTAATGAACACAAAAAGGGCGCAATAACCTGCCTGATTGGGACACCCTTTTGGCAGAATCGTCCTCCTCATACTCTCTAATCTCCACAAGATCTTCCTGTAACAACAAAACCAGTAAACAGTAAAGACCAATGCCCCCAATTCAACAAAACGAAGAGGCGAATCAGGGAAAACTTACTGCAACTTCAGAAGCAGTGGAATCGAAAAAGGAAGCTTTAAGATCTTGCATCTTGGCCTTCAATGCATCCACTTTAGAAATCAATGATTTCCCTCTTCTCTTTAGAATTTCAACAGTTTGTTTAGCTGTTCTATCAGCATAGAAACTTTCCCCTAATAGAACCTACACTGAGTTCAAAATATTAACTGAACATACCCAAACTTCACTTAAGACTCAAATACTATATATTCGAGTATTATGAATGGAGAAACAGTTTAACATTCTACCCGACTCTACAACGGTTTTACCGGGTGGATGCCGGAGTGTGTCGTACCAAACGAAATGCCCAAAGTTTTCAAACTTACATAATGAAACAAATTCCTAATTTAGCGTAAAACAAAAGCATTATACCAGAAACTCGTTCGTGTGAATCAAACGACCAGGAAAAAAACGCCGCTTTCCCGAAGGGACCTGAAAAAACGCAACCTTTTTAAATTTATGCTCATAAATTGAAAGGGAAAGAATTCAATATATCTACATAAAACTAAAATCGCTTGATTATAAATCGATATGCTTGCCATAATATCGTGGTGGAGTTCGACGGGGAGCTTTTGCACGAGGTTGATGAGTGAGGTGTTGTCGGAGATGAATTCTATCAATTGATTCATTTCATGCTGCTTCTCCGAAAGCTTCTCCTCCACCACCTTCGCAACGACGTCACCGTACCTTTCATTTCTGGTTTTCCCATTTCAATTTTTTTTTAAAATTTTTGAACAGCTGGAGTTCAAATGAGCAAGAGCGTGGCTACGAGTCTGCGACTCGTATTATTACTTCTTTCGAGTTACTTAGAGGAACAAGGGAGCGGCTTAACGACTTTGCTATAATATTTAGATGACTATTAAATTTAGGGTTAAATTAGTTAAGATTTTAAAGTAAAAAAATAAATCGATTAATTATTATTAATTTTAATTATTAAATTTCAATAAATTTATAAGATGACATTATCACGTGTTACAATACAATTTTAACATATGAAATTTATATATGTTTTATATAAATAATTTTTTTTTAAAAATTAAACAATTTTGAACATTAGCAATTTTTTAAAAATGTTACTTGATAATATTATGATGTGACATATAATATTAATTAATTTAAAAAATATTATATTTAATAATTAACATTGATTAATGAGATGAATTGGTAAAATTTTAAAAAGAAAAAAATTAATGTGAAAATTTCAAAAACTTAATTAATTTTGTTAAAAAAATTAACAAGTTATAAATATGCTAACTAGATCTGGTCTCAATCTTTTAACCAGTTATAAATATATTAATTAAAATATCATGTAATAAATTATATGGCAAATAAAATAATAACATAATAATTATATAATAGAAACAATCATAAAATAAGGGAATTAAATTTATTTTCTAAATATTTATATATGAAACACTTAATAAACATTCTCACTTAATCAATAAAAGATACAATTGTAACCCCAAAAAAATACAATCATTCACTAATAACATATGAACAATAAAACCTATGATTTTAATTTTAAAGTTTAACTTTTGATCCTTAAACTATATTATTTTTTTACTTTAGTATGTAAACTTTTTTTTGGTCTTATTTTGATGCCTAATCATCATTTCCGTCTAATTTTAGCCAAAAGAATTAGTATTAAAATAGGTAGGAAATGATAGTTTGGGTATTAAAGTAAGACACAAAAAGCTTGATACTAAAGTAGAAAAACGGATATAGTTTAGAGATAAAAACGAAAATATGGCCTAGAGAGAATTCCTGAACCATGTTTGCATGCATCCTATACAAGTCCTTTACGCGTTGCCGGGAGCCATAGAAGGTGACAAAAATGGCGTCGCCGCTGCCGGCGCCATGGCTGGCGGAATCGCATTCGAACCGCCACTAGCACCGCCGCTGCAGTGGTAATGAAAACAATCCACCGGATGTGCAAGCGCCGCTTCACACTCTTTCTGACTCCTCTGCTTCGGCTTCTCCGGCAAACAGTTCCGGCGATCATCGAAAGCGACACCGTTGGAACTCAAGTTCCCACAAATCCCTTCTTCCTCGCAAAAGAAGTTATAAGAAAACGTGAAGTTGACCAAGTTGGGCAAAACACAGACGCCCATAGGAACAATGCCACTCATCATATTGTGGGCCAAATTCAGCTGCTTCAAGTGAGCTAACCCGGCGATGCTATAAGGTATCGGACCGATCAAATTATTATGGCTGACGTCCAACACTCTTAATTTATACAGATACCCCACTTCCGGAGGCAAACAGCCGGAGATGCTCGTGTTGATCAACAGGAGCTCTTCCAACGTGTTGGCTAAGTTCGATATGCTCGGCGGCAGACAGCCGCCAAGCTTATTGTTCGCAAACACGACGACCGAGGCCGTGCTCGTGACAAAGCTTGGAGGTACAACGTTGGAGAACCAGTTGTTGTTGATGAATATGGCATCGAGGTTCTTAGCGAAGAGTTGAGGCGGCAACGACCCTTCGAACTCGTTGTAACGGAGGTCGAGATATTTTAGCGAAGGAAGAGAGAGCACGACGGTAGGAAACGGGCCGACGAATCGGTTGTTGCTGAGGTCGAGCTCGAAGAGGAGGGAGGAGGAGGGAGAGGCTGGATAATGTTTGCGGGAGGATACCGCAGAATCGGTTGCTGTTAAGGTGGATGAGTGCGAGGTCGGAGAGGAGGCCGAGCTCGTTGGGGAGGTACCCGGCGATGTCGACGCCGTTGAGGTCGATTCCGGCGACGAATTTGGTTTCGTTATCGTGAGGGGAAGTTGAGCAATATATGCCATTGTATTTGCACACTTGGGGGCCTATCCAATTAGCGGTGAAGTTCTGGGGGTCCGAGTAGATGACTTTTTTGAAAGCTTGGAGTGCAATGTAAGCTTGTTGGAGTTTGGGGCTTGGGGGCGGTGGACGGTGGTGGTGCTGGCGGTGACGATGGGAGGCGGAGGAGGAGGAGAGAGAGAGGTGGAGGAGGAAAAAGAGTAAGGCTAGCGAGATAATGAATGAGGTTGAAGCCATTGTTTTCTTTTGGTGGATGCTTTGTTAATTGTACTTGGTTTTTATGTAGAGAAAAAACCCTTTCATTTTCATGGCAACTATGCTTCAGTCTTCAGTTTAATCATGATGTTCATACTATGATTTTGATTTGGTTTCAGGTTGGTCTATTCGATTTGGATCAAAATTAAACCGAATCGAATCAAATTATATATGTATTTGAAAGTAAACATTGATTTGGGTTTGTAGATGAGGACATCCCAACCCTCTTTTACAGGGACAGTTAACCGTCACAATTCGGCCTTTGAAATTGCACCACTCAAAACTGAATTTTCAAGCTTCCATTGGGTCGTAGGTTCATTAAATGTTGAATTTTCAAGCTTCCATTGGGTCGTAGGTTCATTAAATGTTGATTCTTGTCTACCACTAGTGCTTGACCAAAACATTAGTGCTTGTATCTAAATTCATTATCCATAAAGAAATAAATTTAAATTATTAGATGTAAATCAAATATTTATAAAAATGCTCATTATTACCATCTCCTATTAACATTATTATTTGAAAAAAAAATTATTATATAATTTAACGGGCAGCGGCATAGCCACCTCTTGGTGAAAGTAGGAACGTGTTTACCGTGAAATTCGAATTTTCTTATCTTAGTTTCTTATTTTATTGATGCTGCTCACTCCGAAATATTTCGTGTCCACCGTGAGATCTGAGTTTTCTTTTATTAGTTGTTTATTTTATTAACAGTGCTTACCCTAAAATTTTATTTGTACGCACCGCACCCTATTTAAAAATTTCAAGTTCTTAAAAATATTTCTGAATCTCCCGGTATTAATGGGATATAATTGAGGAAGAGGAAGAGGGGTTGCAGGGCAGCAAAGACTTATCTCCTTCCATTCCATGGAGTTTTTGGCAGTTGTTACAAGTGGAGAAGAAAAAAGGACAGCTTTAGACCACCTGAGGAAAGATAATATTGCTTCGAACCAAAGGGATAATCATAAAAGAAAAGCATGTTTTTTTTTTCAGTCAAATTTCTATCATGTTTTTGGCTTCTAACATAGCTTTCATAAGACATGCTTAGCCAACATTGTATGTTCTTTTGTACGTTATTTTTTTCCTTCTAATTTATTTCATTAGCTTAAAATAAACATAATTATCTGTACAACATGTTTATTGAATAATTTTCCTTAGTTTAATTAGTTGTAATATATTTTAGGGTAAATTACATGTTTAGTATCTAAACTATCAGTTTTAGTCTGTTTTAGTACTTAAACTTTCATTTTTTTTTCAAAATCATACCTAAAGTTAGTTTTTGTTTCATTTTAATAACCAGCTGTTAAAAACATTAGTTTTTTGTTTCATTTTTTGTACCATGTTTAAAATTTAATGTTAAGTTTTGAAAAAAATTAAAACTTTAGGTACTAAAACGCGCCAAAACTTATAGTTTAGGTAACTAAACACGTTAAATTTAAAAGGATGGGTACTAAAATGAAATGAAAACTAAATGTTAGGCATGATTTTGACAAAAATTAAAAGTTTAGGTATTAAAATAGACTAAAACTAATAGTTTATGTACTAAATGCGTAGTTTACCCTATATTTTATTTCTTTCAACAATTAGTGGAATTGAATTACAAAAGAAATTATTTTTGAAGCAATCATAATTATTTTGATTAATTTAATACATATTCGATCGATTGACGTTTTAATTTAGAAAAATGATGACAAAATTTCATCATGCGACAATCACTAAATTTCATGTACATTCTTCATAGATCACGCCAAATGCATATGTTTTCATTCCAAATACAACTTCATACAGTACATTATGAGTTCAAAAATTGCACACTTGCACTAAACTTCACAAGGGGTTCAAAAGTTTTTGAACAGCGGTGATGGTGTCCCGGAACATAAAAATCACCTCATAAGAGTGGCCGGACTGGAAGTCGGAGCCGTGAATGAACCGATCCTTTTCTTCCTTTCTATTCTTTGGAGAACTCGTAGGCGTGGTGATTTCGGTCTTGTTGTTTCCATAGAAGACCTGGCCAAATTGTACAACGTCAAAGACACGAACACGACACTAATATACAAATACACGATATGATGCACCGAATGCCGGATTTTTTCTTACTTTTGTGGGCAGAAAGGATGATCAAACTTGGGAACAGGCCTAGCATGGGGAACCATTGCCCTCCTTAGTTGCTTCAATGCTTTCTCTTCCTCAATCTGGCAAATTTAATAACATTTTAGCTTTAATTCTCACAACATGCTAAGCCGAGAACCAGAATTAACGGCACAAGTTTAGGACAAAGAATTCGAATTCCTACCATTCTTGCAGCCTCACTCTCCTCTCTGTATCTCTTGTAAATCATTTCTTTCTCTTTAATCTGAAACAAAAAGTTATAATAAGAAATGCTTGTTGAATGAAAATGTAATAAGCTTCACATTAGGAAAAGACTGGAATTTACTTTTTGATCGAATTCGGCTCTTTCCACTGCTCTATGATTGACATGTAGGTCGAATTCTTGCACTTGTGTTAGAGGCTTGCGGGGTTTTTCAGGAACGGGAATTGGATCCCTGCACAAGATTGCATCATAAGGAATGGATAATTATCAATCTTTGCGCTG